AATCTTTGGCTTCTAGAATGCTCCCGTTCAAGTATGCAAATGTTTGGTAAAAGGCACCCCTTGCCTTGGGTAATGGTTTAACAGGCTATTTTGTAGCTTGACAAATCTGCTGTTCCCAGCATCTACCTTGTAAGAGAAGGAGATGAATAAATCTGAACTTTGTAGGGGAAGGAGGCTAATCTTCATGTGTACCCGTACCTGTAACAAATTACAACAATCCCTCTTATCTGAGCTTCAGTCACCTGCAGTTATGTGCATCAAATATAGCCTGAAAATACGAAATGGAAACTTCCAGAAACAAATGATCCTTCCATTTTAAATAGTGCACCAGGAGCTTGGAGTGTTCACTGGGTAAAGGGGCTTGCCGCTAAGCTCCATGTTCTGAGAAGGAAAGTACGGACTCCCCAGATTTGTCCTTTGACCTCCATACATGCTATGGTAAATACCCCACACATGCATACACATAAAAAAATGAAGAGATGTAATTTTAAAAATTACATCTGTGCCTCATCTGGATGGTGAGGTGCTGGCCCACCTGTCCCGTCCACCTGTGACTCTTCCATTTGTGGAGCACCCTTGCTGAATACTCAATGTGCTCACCAGTCAAGTAGTAGCTACAAGACTCTTGCGGTATAGCGTGGCACATATGTGGATTATCTCTCTTGACACTGTTACAAAATACCCAACAGAAGCAACTTAGAGAGGAGAGGATTGTTTGGGGGGAAACCATCCCGGTAAAGGAGCATGGTAGCTGGAGCTCGAGGCAGCTACTCAAGGTGTCTGTTTGTTTGTTTGTTTTTGCGCAGATCTGGGAACACAGAGGTGGCGAGGAAGGAATGGAGAGGGTTGTAACTGTCAACAGCCTGACCCCAGTGACCGACCCCACAGATGCCACCACTTCCCCAAACAGCCCCTCAGGTTCTAAGCCAGGTGTTGAGTACATGAGGCTGTGAGGGACAGTTCCCATTCCGGTCATCTTTGTTTTACTTAACGATGAATCAAAGAACAAAAGCCACGATGCTGACGATTTTATGACAATACAGAGTTGTAACTTCTATTTTACTATTGGCCATTGTTAATCTCCTATTGTGTCAAATTTATAAATTAAACAATCACAGATATGTATGCATAGGAGAAAAACAGTATTTACAGGGCTTGGCATTCTGTAGTTCAGTATTTAGGAGTTTGGGATATAGCTTTTATGGGTTAAAGGGGGCTATTCTAGACTGAGAAATTTATAAACAACAGACATTTCTTTATCCGAGTTCAGAGGCTGGGAAATCCAAGAATAGGGTCCCAGTAGACCTCATGTCTGCTGAGGGCCTCTCCCTCGTGGGCAGTGCCTTCTCTGTCTCCTCAGATGGCAAAAAAGCAAAGAGGCACACTTCTTTTTAGGTCACCAATCTCATTCATCAGAGCTCTGCCCTCAATATCTTTGACTTCCTAATGCCCTCTAGTTGACAGTTCAGTCGCAGGATGTGACTCAGGGAATTCAAATCATGCAGACCTCTTAGGAAGAGAGGCTGGGACTCACCCTCCACTTCGAGTCTGTGATACCAAGACCTCTGTTAGGTTCTGAAGGTCCTGATCCATCTGCCAACAGGACAGGGAACATGCCCAGAGAGGGTGTCACCCAAAGGAAAGGCCACCTGGTCAGATAGCGACCCGAACAAGCATCAGTGCTTTTGTTCTTTAATGTGCAGTGGAGAGACCGCGTGCAGTGGAGAGACCGTGTCCAGCATCCGATACGTGTCAGGACTAAGGCCAGTGCTGACTGAGGATTGGGAGACTGGGGTGAATGTCCATGGCAGGACAGATGCTGGAGGAATGGCCACTCCTCTGTGGGGAGTCCTCCAGCCCATGTGTGATGCTCAGTCCCTTTGAACAGGGCCATTCTCAGGAGAGTATGATGGTGGCTATCTCCCGTTTATACGTGGTAGATCAGTAGTTCACTCTGCCTTTTCATGATTGTAATTGGAGCTTTAAAAATGGGAAAGTCGGGTTTGTCAAAAAAAAAAAAAAAAAAAAAAAAAAAAGCTAGTCCTTTCTTTCTTCTCCTTTATTCCATAGATTAATGCTGTGCAGTATGGGCCATGTTTGGTTACGTTTATCTGACAGTGTGCAGTGTTATAAGCGACATTCTCGTGTCCATTATCCCTCAGAGTTCCATGCCACACTCTCACACCTCCTTCATATAATGGCAGTAGGGGTTATGGCCCTTGAGAGGCAACTAACTTGTCACAGCATGATCTCATGGATGGGGTTAGCACACCTGTAAAAGTGACCAGAGAGCATATCAGAGTGCCTCTACTATTTGAGGACAGATCAAGAAGGCCACTTATGAGCCAGGAAGCAGGCTTTCCACCCATACCCACTCCTCTTGATTTTGGACTTCTAGCCTGCTAACCTTTAAGCACTAAAAGCATACGGTTTGAGCTACCCACTCTCTGGTATTCTGTTACAGCCCCCACAGGCCCATGTTGGAATACTTGGCCCCAATCATGGAGCTGTTTGGGACCGCTTAGGAGGTGTGGCCTTGTTAGATGGGGTTTGTCACCAGGAGTGGGCTTTGAGGTTTCAAAAGACTTATACCATTCCCTGTCTCTGTCTCTGTCCCTGTCTCTCTGTCTCTGTCTCTCTCTCTCTCCCTGCTTTCTGCTTGCTCATCAAGATGTAAGCTCTCAGATGTTCCTGCCAACATGTCTTTGCTCCACCATCATGGACCCTAACCCTCTGACACGGTAAGCCCAAATTAAACATTTTTTTTTTCTAAGTTGTCTTGGCAATGGTGTCTTCTCACAGCAATAGAGACACACCAAGACAAGCCCTAACTAAGAAAGACAGAGACTCCTGGAACCTGGCAAACAGAAATCCTTCACTTACGGACTTCTGCCAGGAGGGAGATGTTGGCCCATATCTTGACTCCATGCTCTGATATTTTCTACTTTGTCAGCAGCAACCTCTGTGTAAACACAGACCCGTCATGACTGGCGTAGGCATAGTGTTGCCCATTTATTGCTTTCTTCCTTCCCCTTTTGAACACTGTCAAGAGTTGCGTAGAGAAAGTGAGAATCTAAAGTTTCCACTCAGACATGTAGGAAACACGGGTCAGAGCTGAGCAGCCGCGGAAGGAAAGGGACAAACCGGAAGTGAGACAGCGTTCCACTTATTACCCATGTGCCCTGAAAGAAGTCATCAGATGTCTCTGAGCCTTGTGCTCCCGGAAGGTACAATGGCATCCACTGCACCTCACAGGACTGCTCTCAGGGTTAAAGGTGCTCAACAGTCCTCAGGGAAGAACTACTCCCTGGGAGGCCACACATGAGCATCTGCACAGCAGTGGGGAGCATTGGAACATGAGGTGTTTATGTCCCAGACCTCAGACACCGCCTCTGTCATCTGCATTTCAGTCAAACCTCAGCAGGCATGCTCAGACACACGTTTCTCAGTCAGGGAGACCTCTATAAACAGTTTACATCCTTGGACTGCTTTCCAGGAGGGGCCCAGCAGAGGCTCTGAGCAAGGAGCTGTTATATCATTCCTCAAGCTCAGGCCGGATTTGAGAGGAGGGGGCAGCGTCTGCAGGCAGAGATTCAGCCCTCAGTGCCTTTCCCACAGGCCCTGGTGTCACGGGTCTCATTTCGTGGAGAACTGGAAGAAAAGACTGTCTTGATTCTTCTCATGGAAAGGGGTCCAAAGGCAGAACTTTCCAGAAGCACCTCCGAGGCCCTATCCAGCCCATCTGAGGACAGCTGTGAGAAAGGCAAACATCTTCCTCTCTCCTCTCCCCTCCCACGCCATTCCGTCCTTTCCTGTTCCATCTCCTAACGGATAGCTGCCTCCAGTTATCATGGTTCAGCCATTCCACACAAACAATGTTGTTTCCCATCCCCTCAAAAGATCTGATGATAATTTCTGAAGCAGAAAATTCAAGGCTGAGCTAATAAACATAGGGAACAACAGGCTCCAGCTCCAGGCACTTCTGACTCGATCATTCAACATGCGTCAAGGGCAACATTCCTGTGTGTGTGTGTGTGTGTGTGTGTGTGTGAGAGAGAGAGAGAGAGAGAGAGAGAGAGAGAGGGAGAGAGAGGGAGAGAGAGATCAGATATGTTATATTATTATCAAAATAATGTCTCATTAGATAATTTCTCATCTCTTTTCCAGGTTAATTTGTACAAATAACAAACACAAATGTTTATTGTTTTAACATCTACATAGTGCCCCATTGTGAAAACACACCACAAAGTATGCCACCTTTATTATGATGGTTTTAAACCAAGCCTCACTCCTTTTGTTTATAATGTGTGGAGCAACTCGCTTCAAGTGCAATACTTGGGTGCACCTGGTATAACCTGGCTAGGGCGTTCTAGGACTTGCTCCCTCTGTGAAACCGGGAGGCGGCCAGGTCCAAGGGCTGGTTCAGTCTGAGACACCCTTGGTGTGCAAGCCCAGCAGCTGGGATGCAGTAAGAGCCTTGCTGGCTGGTGACATGAGTGAGTTCACACCTACACTGGCTCCCATCACCCTCCACCGCACTGGAAATCACCTGGCTTTCTAGTATCCACACACATGCTTGCGGCATCATCCTGCCTGTAGGCTACTGAATAAACGAAGAAAAAGGAAGAAATAAACTTAAGATGGTGAAATGAGAAGCCAGAGGGTGTGTGTGTGTGTGTGTGTGTGTGTGTGTGTTTATACTCCTGCACAGGGCTGTAGGCAGTAGTAAATCCTTGCTCGTAGTTATGAGCAGAAAATCTGTTTTAGGCAGTTAAAGGACACGGTGAAAACCTGGCTTCCTATTCCTTCCCATTATCAGGCCCCGACTCCTCGTTTGAAGCTGCTAATGAATAAGCAGTCTGAACACTCAAGTTCAATCTCCCCGAAACACCTTCTCAGGCGCCGCAGTAACCCCGAGGCCGGGGCATTCCTCACAGTTTCTTATCTGGGTGGTAAAATCGGGTCGCCGCCTAATTGGTTGCTGACTCTCTCTGCTAAATGAAGGAGGTTTCTGTTTTAAGAAATAAAGAGACTTCTCAGCGGTTGATTCACTGCCCACGGGGAGCCTGCGGAGCAGAGGCTTCCTCTGCCTAGAGATTTGCATACAACATCCACTTCCTGCTTCGCAGCCGGCTCCACCACTTACCTGGACCCGGAGAGGGCGAGGGAGGCCTGAGCCGCCCGAGGTGCAGCCCCAGAGCCCAGCCAGCGACCACCCGCCCCGGGCCGCCTGTCTGCAGCGACCGCAGGTCAGTGATCACACTGGTGCCCGTCTGACCCTCTTTAACCACGGACCGGCTTTCCAGTCCACTGCCTTCCCCTTTGCCAGAACCTTCTGGCCTTACTTTCCTCTGCCCTCTTCATCTGGCGCAGCTCTGAGCTGAGACTATGACCGAGCCCCAGTAAGAAACGAGGCTCTGGTTTAGGGTTTCGGGCAGGCCGAGCTGAGGTTAACTCTTTAATGAGGCTACTCTAGTGTCTCCTCGGGTTTCCACCAAGAAATCAAGCTTCCTAGTGAGTTCAAGGCTAGCCCGGGCTATGTAGCAAGAGCTTGCCTTTTAAACAAATCAAAACTTCTCCGAGAAGGGTAGCAAGCAATACGCAGTTGGCTTCCAGCCCCAGAGTCAGTGCCAGAGCGGGAAGGGCAACTCCCAGTTTTTCTCTGTCCTGGTTTTATGCTGGGGGGAAAAAATCAGCATCCCGTTCTTGGGTCAGGAAGTGCTCGACACCCTCACCCCACCCCCCGCCATCCTCCATTCCAGGCATTTGCTGGGCCTGGTGGATGCTGGGGTGAAACGCTTGGCCTTAGAAGCCCCTTGTTGTGACTTCCTAGTTCACTGTGGCCTCTTAGACTACAGAGAGTGTTTTTTTAAGGGAGTGAGTGAAAAGAGGCCAAATTAATCATTTAAACGGAGCTCAGAAAACTTGGTTCCAAGCTCTGCCTCAACTTTGTGTGGGTCCGTCTCTTAGGCAATTCTCTTTGGCTTCCAGAAGCCTGGATTTCTTCATGTGCTCTCTCTTCCTCCCTCTCTCTCTCTTCCTCTCTCTTCCTCTCTCTCTCTCTCTCTCTCTCTCTCTCTCTCTCTCTCTCTGTGTGTGTGTGTGCACTAACGTGATTATGTCTAAATTCCTTTCTAACAAAACAAGGCCAGGGCAGTCCCAGAAGGACATCGTATTGGGTGGTCTTAGAAGACATGCTTTGTTTACCCATTATTACACATATAAATTTTACCTCTGCTACTAGTCCATTAGGAAGGCCTTTGCTTCTTACATTTTCCCAGCCCCCAGAACCTGGCATGCCATCAAACACCGGAGAGGTACTCCGGCTCCTTGCACATAAACTTTTAAAAGTCTTTCAGTTCCCCTCATCTGCTTTCCAGGTGGAAGGTAAAGCAGCTGTCAGGGCTGGAAGCTTGTGGTGGGAAGGGTCGGGGTGGGTGGGGGTGGGGGTGTCAACCGCAGCTCTGCAGGAGGGCTGCCTAGAATCCAGCCATCATTGTTGGCTTTAACCACATGGGGGAAATGGGATTTCTTGAATTTAGCTCATGTCCCCTGTGTTTGCTGAGAGTCAAGGCAGGCTCCAGGGTTGGCAGTGGATCCTGCTTCAGAGGCCAGGAGCTGGAGCAGGAAGATACTCCTGGCCGCAACAGTCAGTGCGGGGTGGGGTGGGGAGGGTTGGGGGGATGGGGGGCGGCTTTAATGGAAGGGGACAGGGAACAGTGAAACACATCCTAGCACATGTAAGGCTGGTGACTACGATTAGAGTCATTATTAGGTGGCAAATCCACTGAGTCCTTAACCTTTTCAAAACCAAAAATTATTAATAATTTTTTTGAGCAATTACTGTCAGGTCCCAGCAGGTTCTGGCTGAGGGGATGGGCATATTTGGGACTTTGGGTATTGCCAAACTCTGTAGGTTATAAGGCTCTAGTATAGGCCTTGTGGTGTTCCTAGATGGCTGTCTGTATTCTGGAATAAGCACACCAGACTTCCAACACGTTTTGCTTGTGCCGAGTCCCTGATTCTTACTTTAAATCTGAACGGTTATCATCTAGACCAGGGTAGCGGGTGTGTGCCGCTGCCAGCCTGGCATTGATGGGTGAAGGGCCCACCACAGCCATTCTTGATCTGGTGCTGCTCTTCCCAGTCACCCCGAGGGTGGAGATGGGTGCTGCAGCTGTTCCGATGTGTTCGCTGAGTGAGGTGTGGGCAGTGTGGCAGGGTGCTGGAGAGAACTCTTCCTCACTCAAGGATTCTTAGAGGATACGAAGACACAAAGTGGTCAGGCCCACACCCCTCAAGACCAAGGTGTTAGTGACTTTCAAATACGCTGAAAATTAAAAGACGAGGAGAAAGTCATATTTCCAGGCGTCGTTTAACGGGCATTCAGCAAGATAGATTATGGCGGAGTGGTTCGTCTAAATTAAATCAATGTTTTACACGTTGCAGAATGGAAATCTCAGATAGATCCTGAATTCAAATCGTTTTCTGCTGCAGGCAATTTTAGATTGACCTTTAAAATGTACACACATAATAAACAACAGGCAATTGCTATAGGGGTGGAGCTTGTACGGAGCCCCTCCCAGTTCCTTTCACACCCAACTAAATGGCCCATAATGTTTGCTCCTATGTCCTTAGCAAACAGTCCAGCTGGCTTCCACGAGGCACATCTGATGGTCGGAATCTAGAAGCTGCCCCCCCCCAGGCCTCGTCACCCAGATATTTTTAGATCATGAAACACAGGGTTTCTTCTCCTGCTCCAACATTCCTTGTCTCCTACCCAGCATGCCTCGTAGAGCCCATGTGTGCTCCATCCTCAGGGCTCTGCTCAGCCTGCTGGTGAGCATGTGTGCACGCAGGTGGTGTGCACCCTGACCTTCCGGGAGACCACAGGCTACAAACCAGCTGATGGGCGGACTTTCACCCACGTGGCAGCCCACAGCACAGCACAATGCCACTTTGGCTTGGTTCCCTGATGACACTTCGGAAATCAAGCTGTTTGCGTGGGTGGGACACCCTCACACAGCCTGTCCTGCTCTCCCACCCTGCAGACCTAGTCTGCGTGGGGTCTTGGCCACTCGCTGAGTGGTGAAGGAAATCTGGCTCCTGTGCCCAGCCTTCAACGCTCTTCCTTTTCTCTCCAAGGGTAAACAGGTCTCATGGCCATCTCTGGAGTTTTCCTATCCTGAGTTGTCTGCCCAGGCACCCTGGCCACTGGCCCACCCTGCACATTCCGCCCCTTTTCCTGTGATTATCCCTTTGACCCTTCCTGCACCTGGCATACATAGGTTACAAGGTCTTTCTCCTATAGCAACAGCGGTTGCCTCTTCCATACCCCTCCTCCGTGTCCCTTCCTCTTCACTCTGGGACCTGCACTGAATTAGAAAGACCACCTTATGTGAGGCCAAGAACAAACAAACAATCAAACAGACAACAGTAGTGTCTGAGCTGGCTTGAGGTTGTTTCTCTGAACGTTTTTATTAGCAGCTGTCGATGTGACAGGCAGTCTATCCCCAGAGGTCTCCGCCCACCCGTCACAGCTGAGCACTGGAGTCCCAAGGCCACTTCTGATGCCTGCCCTCAGCCTGACTGAGTCTTCCTGTGCAAAGTCCAGCAAATGTCCCCTTGTTTCCAAGGCTCCCACCATCCCAAACCATGCTCCACTAAGCAAACCAACCTTATGGTAATTTGCATACATTTAGGCAGTAGACAAAGAAATTCATGAGCTTACATATATTTCTAAAGATCTGTGATTTTTAGACCACTAAATAAAAAAGAAAATGTACTCTTTGGGGGCCAGAGAGATGGCTTAGCTGGTAAAGGTGTTTGCCACCAAGTGACAGCCTGAGTTTGATCCCAGGAATCCACATGGTGGAAAAGGGAAAGCAGACTCCTGCACATGGGTGCCATGGCAACACACCATACAATAAATAAATAAATAAGTGTAAAAAGGAAATTTAAATTATTTCCTAGAGAGTAGTTGAATAATCTGTAATTGAAAGTATCTGATCCAAATTGGGCTTTAGGATCTTTCCAACTATAAAAATATATACTTATATAATAAATAATAAGGCCACCTGAAACATCCATGCTATATGTCTCTAGGACTTTTCAACCCTATCAGTAACCCAAAAAAATATTTAAAATAACATAACAAACTCAGGACTGGAGTTCAGACCCCCAGAACCCACCTAAGCGCCAAGTGTGGGTGACAGCCCACTTAGAATCCATCCCAGTGTTCAGGTGATGGGACAGGGAACCCTAGCCATACTACCCACAACGTCCAGGTGGGAGAGACCCTGCCTCAATACATAAAGTGGACAGTGACTGCAGGTGGGGGAAGGCCCTACACACACACACCACACACATACACACACACACACACACACACACACAGACCTCCCATACAAACTAACACGCACGCATACAATTAAAAAAAAAAACCAGCCTGGTATTGTGGCGCATGCCTACAACCGCAGCGTTCAGGAGGTGGAGACAGAGGATGAGGATCTCAAGGACAGATTGGGCTGGATGAGACCATGTCTTAAAAAATAAAACCCAAATCTAATCCGTTGGTGATCAGCTAGCCTTGATTATTTGGGAGCTGTTAGGGCATGTATTAACTACTCGGCCGCTCACTCCTGCCCTTCATTAAATCCCGCCGTCCTTGCCTCAGAGATGTCCCCTGGAAGCTGTCCCCTTCCCAGCTGCATTGCCATTTATCATCGCCCTTTGTTTGTGCTCTGTCATCCAGGTTTCAATTTATTTTGAATTCAGTTTATGATTAAAATTTAATGAGATCCAATCAAGTGCTTTTTTTTTTTTTTTTTTTTTTTTTTCAAATCAAGAGATGCCTCTGCAGTCTGAGCACACCCTCCATTGTAATGGCATGAGGGAAAGACGCCCAGGCTTCCCTCCGTGGTGCCTGATGGGACACTGGACGTGTGCACCCGTGCCCCTGGGGGTCAGGGTGAATGACCTGAACCCGACTCTCCTGAGCTGCTGGAGATTCCGAGGCGGCTACCTTCACTTTGTCCGTGCACACTGCCCAGCACACAGGCTCTGGGGATGAACTGCCGTGGCCATAGGACCTTGAGAAAGTTCCTTAACCTTCCTGTACCTCAGTTTCCCTACTATAGAATAGAACTAACAACAGTACCCATCAGCTGGGGTCACAGTGATGAGTTACTGTGTATAAAAACCCTTGTGACTATTTTACACCTAACAGACATTCAATAAAGATTAACTG